CATTTAGATTTCTTTAAATGATAAATACTATGTAAACATTGTATGTCGAGAACCACGTGTACTATTATGTAATCAAAAACGAATTCATAGAGTTCATTTACACGATAAATATTTAAAATAATAGTGGTTGCCATGTATATTTCGTAAATTTTCGTTACAGAAATAATTAATAGCGTGTGTTAATAATGTATACGTGTATAAATTTGCAAGTTACATCGGTTCGAAACTATACCGCAAACCTCATAAACCTCCACTTTGGTCGTCGTTTTGATTGTGTCGACCCAACGCGTTTTAATACGACTTCCATGTCGTCGAAGAAGTTTTTGAAAAAAGTTTTTCTATTCAAAGTTGTGAATGTCAAATAACACAGTAGAAACTCAGGCTGTTGCGTAACAATCTAAGTGCGTGTGTTCCGACGAGGTTTCCTGTGGCAGCGAGAAAACCCAGTGAACTCAAATAATAACAATAATTATTATCTCGTGTCAATCACAGCTGCTCGAGGACAACAGAAACAAACAAAAACTAATAATAAAATGAACGTCCGCAAATGTAAAAACACGTGACATAAAAAGTACTTATGCAATCAGTCTACACGATGCCAATGTAACGGTATACCTTCTCATTGACTCTCGCCAACGATGTATGAGCGGATCTCCAAAGTTATGCATTTAACTTATCCCTATGGGAGTCGTTAGTAATTCTAGACACGAGTCAGTAGCTGACACAAGTACCACCGACCGGTTTAGAGAGCACTTGGTTGCTCACCGCATTGGCACAGCAGAGTTTGAATTTCGATGAAGTTACTCGGCGGCAACTTACAATGAGTAATAAACGGTCTGAGAACAAGCGATAAATAACTTATAAAGTTCCCATTCGCACAGAGATCCGTACGCACAGACGTTTTAGTAAAAGTAAAAAACGAGATTCTTAACATTTTAAAAGATACTTAATAATAGAAATTCTAAAGGTACATTTATTACGATTTTTTCCATTGAGGTAACCTACTTTTTTTTAAAGAGACAAAGACTTCTTCTTGTGTCCAGTGCGCATATTTTAAAGCTAGCAACTCCATTTCTCTTTTAATAATAATTATGTTAAGAAAATTATTTTTTAGTTTCAAATATTTCTTAATTTATTAGTCATTTATTAATTTTTTTAATTTATACATTATAACTAATAAGGGTGTCAACTGTATTTTAGCTTCGATGAGCAGCCAAAGAAAGAAAAATTTCCTCGCTATAACAATAATTATCCCTAAATATNTTTTTTTTTTTGTGTCTGTTACCACTTTTTCTCAGCTCTCACCGAACCGATTTCTTTCAATGATACGTCAAAAGATCACAAATCGTATCTAGTCGAAGACATTACCCTCAAAAATTGAAAAAATTCCCTCATTCCCCGTAAATGGGAGAAACATCCAAAAAAATTACAAATTTAAAAAAGGCTAATTTTTGAAATTTTTTCAATTTTTTTTACTAAAAACTGCCGTACCTTTTTAAAAATAAACATATCAATATAATTCTTTTTTTTATAGATGCACGATTTCATTACCTATCATTTGGTATATTTTTTTTATAAATCTGACTTTTTACCTGCCCACGGGGGNTTTTTTTAAATCGGACCATTTCCCTAAATACAGGGGGGATTCAAAACATAAAAATGCATTACAAAAAATTAATTTTTTCAACTTAACTTTTGAAAGTGTTTCGGAAGATCTGACACTTTTATATATATCTTAAATTAAAACTAATGTAATATACTTAATCATGAAAAAAAAAAATTTCGGACTTTATTTTATCTTCAGGGTNAAAAAAAAATTTCGGACTTTATCTTATCTTCATGGTGAAAATGGCTACCGAATGCTATTTTTGTGTGAAAATTTTCGATTTTGTATTTTACATTTTTAACTTTATTATGCTATAACATTTTGAAAAATGTATGGATCATTACAATTTTTTTATCAGAAGTAGTATTTATATAGTTCTTTTNCAATTTTTTTATGAGAAGTAGTATTTATATAGATCTTTCATTCGACATACTGTTTTTTTAAATCGGACCATTTCCCTAAATACAGGGGGGATTCAAAACATAAAAATGCATATAGAAAGTATAACTTTTTCAACTTAACTTTTGAAAGTGTTCCGGAAGGTCTGACACTTTTATATATATCTTAAATTAAAGTTAATGTAATATACTTTACTATGGTAAAAAAAAATTTCGGACTTTATTTTATCTTCATGGTGAAAACAGACATCAAACTTCATTAAAAAAATACGATTTTTGTAAAAAAATTCTTTTTTATAATTTTAACTTTTTAATGCTATAACTTTTTGAAAGATGTATGGATCAATATAATTCTTTTTTTTATAAATGCATGATGTCTTTACATATCATTTGATATATGTTTTTGTCATATCTGACCCTTTACCTGTCCACAGGGGGGGATTTAAAATGACAACTTTTTCACAAAAAATTTACTTTTTCAACTTAAATTTTGAAAGTGTTCCGGAAAGTCTGACACTTTTATATATATCTTAAATTAAAGTTAATGTAATATACTTTATTATGGTAAAAAAAAATTTCGGACTTTATTTTATCTTCATGGTGAAAATGGCTACCGAATGCTATTTTTGTGTGAAAATTTTCGATTTTGTATTTTCCATTTTTAACTTTATTATGCTATAACTTTTTGAAAAATGTATGAATCATTACAATTTTTTTATGAGAAGTAGTATTTATATAGATCTTTCATTCGACATACTGTTTTTTTAAATCGGACCATTTCCCTAAATACAGGGGGGATTCAAAACATAAAAATGCATATAGAAAGTAGAACTTTTTCAACGTAACTTTTGAAAGTGTTCCGGAAGGTCTGACACTTTTATATATATCTTAAATTAAAGCTAATGTAATATACTTTATAATGGTAAAAAAAAATTTCGGACTTTATTTTATCTTCATGGTGAAAACAGACATTAAACTTAATAAAAAAAATACGATTTTTGTAAAAAAATTCTTTTTTATATTTTTAACTTTATAATGCTATAACTTCTCGAAAGATGTATGGATCAATATAATTCTTTTTTTTGTAGATGCATGATGTCTTTACCTATCATTTGGTATATTTTTTTTATAAATCTGACTTTTTACCTGCCTACAGGGGGGGATTCAAAATGACAACTTTTTCACAAAAAATTTACTTTTTCAACTTAAATTTTGAAAGTGTTCCGGAAAGTCTGACACTTTTATATATATCTTAAATTAAAGCTAATCCAATTTACTTTATTATGCAAAAAAAAAAATTTCGGGCTTTATTTTATCTTCATGGTGAAAATGACTACCGAATGCTATTATTGTGTGAAAATTCTCGATTTTATTTTTTACATTTTTAATTTTATAATTCTATGACATATTGAAAAGTGTATGGATTAACATTATTTTTTTGTGAGAAATAATATTTTTTAATAATCCCTTTTTCATTCTACATACTTTATCTTAATTAGGATATTAATAATGAACTAGTAGATTATGAAGCTTTTGGAATAATCCACCAATTTTTTAAAATTAAACACTATCTAAAGATTTGCATCGAAGCGTTTTTTTTTTATAGTGACAAATCACTGTCAGATATCATTATACTTGATCCATCTATACCACGTCACCACTGTGCCGCGACCCCCTGTGCTGGGTTTTTTTTTTAATTTATACATTATAACTAATAAGGGTGTCAACTGTATTTTAGCTTCGATGAGCAGCCAAAGAAAGAAAAATTTCCTCGCTATAACAATAATTATCCCTAAATATTTCTAGGCCGCACCTCTCCTGTTGTCTAAGTAAAAAAAATGTTAACAACTTTTGAAGTACTAGTCCATAAATTGTTATCGACCAGTCATTTTCTTAATTACACCATTATCTATATTAAAAACTAGTTAAATATGTATGCTGCTATTCAAAAAATAAATTTGACACCCCGAAAAGTTATGTGGATGGTAAATATTAACTAATAACTGATAAATCGGAAAAAAAAACAAAAACTAAGTTTCTTATATTAGCTAGCGTTAAACGAATCATCCAGTATTGCATTAACTGGTTTTATTAATATCTTGAAAAAAAATATATTTTTAATTAAAGAATGTTTTAATTTACATGGCTGTACTTACTAATAATCATTTAGAATAAAAACTTGGCTTAATTAAACATAAAATAATTACTGACGAACGAAAAAAGTTTTCGCTGAACGTGGCAAATAGTGTGTTTTTTTATCTATAATACTTGTCATTTTGTAAAGACTTTAAAACAAAGGAAATAAGAGAATCTTCGATTAGTTTCCAGTTTAACAGTACAAGTTAAAATTATACTAAAAAGAAAAAAATATTTTTTTATGACTTAACAAATCAATCTATACGTTTTTAGTACGAAAAAAAGAGCCCGCTCGTTTATCGCAATACTAGAATTGTTATACAAGTAGAGTCGTTCAAAAGATGTGTGTTCTGTATTGTAAATTAAACTACTTTCCCTTATTTAACAATTAATCCACTGCTCGTTAATGACAAATACTCGACGCACTTAAATAACTTTTGAAATGTATAAAACCGCTAAATACAAAGTCACAGATTGTCGATACAAAATATACGAAGGAACTACGTATAAAACTCTTTAAAGCGAAAATCGATTAGGTCATTTGGCACGCAAAGGACATCTTTCAAAAGCGGTAGCCAATTTAATCGTAATGCAATCAACTCGAAAACTTTTATTACAATCGGTGTTACAAACACATATCGTTCTGATTCGTGAAAATCAAGTATTTTATTATATACACTCGGAGGAAACTACCAAATAAAATTACTGAACAAAAAAGAAATTCGGTTCGTTTACACAACTGATTTATAAGACCAGGGGCTTAAAGTTATTTCTTGATAAGCTTAAACGATTTAATTTCTGACCAAAAACATTTTTAGTGACGACAATTTAATATTTTTCCATTTATTTTTTTTAGACTGCAATAAAAATTTGGAAGGGTGTAAGGATGAAAGTTGGAAACGTATGTGTAATGTGACCAGCCAGACGGAACACTCACCACATCCGACATGGGATAACGTGTGTGTAGATCAACTCGTATGGATGTTCAACATACACGCATACGGATTTGCTTGTCTGTTCTTTATCTTGTCATTTTACGCCATCTTCTCCATTTTGAACATAAGGTTAGAAAAATACTACCGTTTCATATCAATGTTATGCATTCATTGACAGTTATGAAAACAAAAAATGTTTGTGTTGTACATATTTTATTTCATTATTGTTATTATGATAGGATAACTCACTTATTTAGTAAATTGTGTGTTTAAAATACTTAGAGTTTATTTTATTTTTTTACAAAGAACATTTGAAAGAAATCAAAGAACGACATTTAAGTACATTTTTCTTTGATGTATTAACTTTGCTTACATATGCTTAATTAGAAATTATTAGAACAAAATTCCATTACTCAAATAATTTTCTCATAGAAATATTCAATTAGTTACAGTCATTAGGTATCAATTGAAATTATGGTGATTTTTTAAATATATTTATTAAATCCGCTTTTAATGGAACATTGTATTTTTACATGTTTACGAATAGTAACTGCAAATGTTGGCGAGTTATTTCAAAAGCTTTTCATAGCAACCATTTTTTCATAAATAATTATTTATTTATCTATGCTATTTCTACCAGTAATTGATTACGGTGATTAATATTATTATGATTTATTTCGCCCTTCTCATTCATCGCACTAGAAATTTTCAAACTTTATGCAAATCCAACTATTAAAATTTAATGTATTTAATTACTGATATTATTGATAGTGTTGATACTGACGAAAAATGATTTATTGTTTCTTATAATTACTTTAGTAAAGATAATTAATATTCAGTATAATGAACGCATAAATTTGAAGTTTATAACGTAAAAATCAATTTAAATTAAAAATGTTAATATAAAACAATACTAAGTGACACAAAGTAATAAATTTGATTTTTTTTTCTCAACATGACTAGCAATTATAATTTTTAATTGATTAACTTATAACACAAGACTATGATGACAAAAGATATGGCGTATGACTTAATAATAATATTTTTCATACATTTTTAATCATCAATGCATAATTTGAAGTTATACATATTATCATGTGATTTCAATGAAAATTACTATTTATTTGCTACACAATTATAAGTTATACTAATTATACTAGTTGAGCACTCAATGTGTGTACATTAGGGTGGAACAAAAAAAGTCAGTCATCAAAATTTAATGACAACGCTTTTAACTTTATTATATACATTAAAATGGGTATTTTGTGAAAAATGAGATTTAAAAAAAAAATTTTTTGTTCGCTTGACGTATTTTTAGTATTTTGTCTAAAACTATCGCAAAACACCGAATCTGTTATTCAATGATTTATTAAATATTATTTGACTTTTTTAGATTCAATCTAATGTACTCATTAATGTATACTACATTTATACTTGGATGAGAGGAATAGTAGAGTCGGTAAATATATAGTCATAAGAATAGCAGCACCCACTCTCCAGTAATTACTTTAAATTGTTAGCAACTTCGGAAATACTTTCCAAAAGTTGTTATCGACCAGTCATTTGCTTAATTAGATAATTATCTATGAAATAAGCTAATTAATTATATGTGTTACCATTTGAAAATTAAAGTTGACACTTTTATTAAATATAAGGGATTATTACAAAGAAACTTAGATTCAAAAATTAAGAGAAACAGTAATCTAAAAGTAAACATTCAAAAAATGATTTATATTATTTTTATTTTTCGATTAATTAAGTGGTTTATCATAAGTAAAACACACTGTATATAATTAGCTAATAAATGTAATTAGCTCTGTTAATGTAATCAGTATATTAGAATTTAACTCGTGGAAGAGCCACGATTACAATAGTCTAATAAAAATGCAAATAATGTACTTTGATTTTAACAAATTATAATTTTGGCTGCTTAAATCCAATCATTCATACTGATGTTTATACTAGAGTCATTAAATCAAATAGTATCCTATTGTAAAATTCACGGCCATAACAAAACCTACTCTTACTATTTGCCAAGTTCATTTTGGTCCCAAAAAATCAATGACGCAGTATCACATCTTAATTATTAGGATTAGACGACGTTCTAAAACAATTTATTTTCTTAAATCTTGGCAATCATTGACAATGGATTAACGCGATATTGATAAAGATTGATGTTATTCTTGGTAAAGAATAATACTCTTCAATTGTATTTAGTTTGATTTTGAAAAACTGTAAACTTTCACTGATATTTATGTTTATTGTTAATAATTATAAAAATAGGAATTTAGAACAAAGTTTTATAACACTTTAAATTTTATTAATACAGAAAGAATTGTCATCAACAGACATCTATTTGCTGTTATACGCGTTTTTTATTGGATCTGATGAAGTCCTTTTATATTAGAGGTCTAATTGCAGTTTAATTTATTGAAATAGCTGTTTATGTCATTCTAACCCTTTTAATATACTAAAACTTAACATAAACTAAAATGAAATATTACATAAAATTAAAAATATGATTTGACCTTATTTTTTATAAAGTTTTATTATTGCCATAAACATATTCTATAGCATAACTAATACATTTCTGTTAATTATTTATAAAGTTTATAATTATATTTTCTCCAAATTCAAAACAACAAATTAAATCAATTTAATATAGGTTTTAATTATTATTATTTTTTTTATCGAATTAAAGTTTCAGAAAATTTTGTAATTTAAATAATACTAATTTATTATTTTATGTAATTATACCAGATTCATTTTTCAAAAACCTTTTTGCTAAATATTTCGAAAATCATTATCTAATGATTAAAAAAAATTATATTTCAACTTCAAATGTCTTGTTAGTTGTAACTTAAAGCTTAAAGTTAAAATTAATTTTTACTTGGAAATATACAGTAGATTAATGACTGTGGACAAAATATTTAGTCGGTTAAGTGGAAACTTCATTTTTTATATCTCAGCTTTAGGTTGTTTTGAAATGGTAAATGCTTAATAATAGTGCTTCTTGCTAGTTTAAAATATCTCTGCGTAGCCTGTGGTAGACTATTTTTAATAGTTTATTCTTTAATCTGATTTCTTATTTTGTTATTCAAGAAACAGTGTACATTTATCTTTTTCTGTAATATATTGTTGGTGAAAACTTGTTTTTTTTTCACGCTTGCGAAGGTAAGAAAAGTTAAAAAAAAGTTGTGGATGTTAAATATTTGCAAAAATTTCATCCTATCATAACGTCTATGTATTTTATTGAAATTTAAATTTTTATCAGAAATAATGCGAAAATATTTTTCATAATAGTTTATCATTAACACGAGATTCAGATCCATAGTACGTTCAACGAAAATTAAACTATTGACATAAAACAAACAACTTCATGGAACAAAATTAATGACATATCGAATAAATTAGTTTTTCTGGAAATTAATCAAACAATAAAGTATTACCATTAAGATTATTATTGTTTTTTTAATATTTGTAATTAGCCGCAAATCGTTTTATTTTGCGGAAATGTATGATTTTTTAAGATGAGATTTTTTCAACCGTTAATATTGAGTATTAACATACAAAAATTTTAATTTAAAAAACTATGTTCAAACTACACATAATAAGTGTGTATTTAATTATCATTTTTTTGCCAGATAAAAAACATTTCTAAATTAAACATTTCACTACTAGGGATCTTGGAAATCCTTTAATACCTCAGTGAAAAAAATGATCAATATTGGTTGGGCTTTGTTATTTTCGTCAAAAGCAGTACTTATAACTCAGTTTCGTTGAAAAAAATAATACCCAACAATTCAAATTCTCGAGGGATTTTAGACATCTATAGAAGTCTCATCTTTCACATGAACATTTCTTGAAGAAAATTATTTCATTTTTTCGCTGCTATAAATAATTTTCCTCCTAATAAAGCCCATAATGAAATTTTTAGTTGATTTATGAAACTCTTCATACTTCATTTATATAACAAATGCATGATAAAAAATACCCATGTTTTACTAAGATGATTAAATATAGCTAATAAGTACTTTTTATTTACCTATTTAGTTCAATACGTCAAAATTTTCTTTATTTGTACATTTGCGTTTTTTTACAACTTTATAAATAAAATATTCCATAATAATAAGTTAGGTATTTAAAATGATTATTAAAAAAAAATTAAGTTTAACTTAATAAAGTTAAACTGAATTTAATATTTAAGGTTCAATATAATACTGTTACTTACTCATCTTTTTATACAATTTCAGTACTTAATAAGCCTAAATTTTATTTTAACTTGAATAAATATTCAACAATACGTTAATTGACACTTGGCATTTACTTATCTCATATTAGCCATCCAAATTTATCACTAATAATTATCTTTTACTACTATATTCTTAACATTATAATTATCAGCGTAAAATATAATTTGCAGTATTATCTTTTATACTTTTGTGTTAAAGGGCACAAACAAAAAACAAAAAGGAGAAACCTTCTATGGCAGCGATTAATGCGTTATTACTGGTCACTGGTGTCAGCAGAGCATTTGTTTTGTTCATCGACCCATACAATACAAGACGAGTGAGTGTAAATGATATAAATTATTAGCTTATAAGAACAACACCATTAAAATTTATTGTTTGTTTACCCACAGAACATATCGTCAGTAGTCACGCACTTGACATGGGACTTGGGTTTATGTAGTTTAGTAGCAGCTCTGTCTTTGTTGCAGCTCTCCTACATTCAACTTACTCAGGTGGGTACTTGTATTGTCAATAAATCGATTTTACTCCATTTTGTGCTCAATAAAATAAATAATAAGAGTAATTTATTTTCATACATACAGCTGCAAGCCGGCCCATCAAACATGAGAAGCAAATCGGTTGTTGTCACTGCCTCTATATTATTGGTTGGTTTACTGGTACCAGCAGTCATCACCGCCGCCCTAGACTACAAACTATGGGTAATTTTTAAATACACAACATTGTAAAATTTTCTAAAAAATTACTTTACTCATACAGGTATTAGGAAATGCAGTTCGTATTCTAGTACACATCTGGGGGATTTGGCTGTGTTGTTTCTTCCTGTATTTAGGTGTCAAAGTGATGACACTTGTTAAACGTATGCCAAAATCAATATTGCAAAATTTCGACGCCAGACATAAAGGTTAGTTTAATACTTTTAGGTTTTTAGTTGAAACACTAAGTCGACTGTTTACTGATCCCATGCACTTACTGTATGTTACAGATAGCACTGCTAGGTTATAGATACAATTTATTTTAAAAGTTTTACCGTTTCTCCAATTACTTCACTAAAGGCACTAAATCTGACGATTTCATCCTTAACAAAGGATTAAAATGTGGTAATACTTACTCTCCTTGTTTCCTTTTGAATTTCGTGAGTACATTTAATGGTTTTGAAACGAATTCGTATCCGACTAACCCTCTGCGTTGTATTCAAGAACGCTTTTAAATGACTAATAAATACTTTGTCCAACAAAGTAGTCTATTGTTAGTATTAAACACAAAATATATATATATATCATATATCATATTACACTATCATTGCATAGTTCCGTCTTCTAGTTAAGAATAATGATTTTTAGCGATTTGTTTTAATTATTCGCAAATAACACATTAATGTAATAATTGAAAGTTAAAACCAAAGTTTGTACGATAGTTGATAAACCTGCATTCTAGATCTTAAAAAGAAGTCATTGGAGAGATAAATTTATTTAAGCGCGTCAACCGTTCGAATCCAATTATGGCATAAATTATAAAAATAAGTGAGATGACCAAACCCATTAAATGTTCGAAATTAACCCCTCGTCGTAAAACGTCAAAGGCAATTTCAAGTAGGAAGCCTAAAAGATGAAAGATATTATTCGAGTCACGGTTGAGTCGTCGTTAAGATAAGTTTAAATATCACGATTGTCGTTCACGCGGAATCGGTTTGGTGGTCTTCACTAAAGCGTTACCTAAGATTATCATGAAAGTCGATTAAATAGAACAGAATCTTGTCGTCATTTATTTTTTATCATTATCCATTTGCCACGTAAACCGATTTCGGGTTCACTTTTCGTTTATTCTCGGTATTACGTTAACGAGAAAAATATAAATTTCCATTTGCAAATAAATATTGTTTATTACTTTATTTTTTTTTATTATTAAACGTATGAAATAATATGAAATTACCATACACTATTCTGGCATCGAAAAAATATAAAAATCGATTTTTTTAGGTATAATGCAATTGGGTATATTGGCGCCGTACAATAACCTCGCCACGTCAATGGCCGCTGCTTTAGTACCTGCTTTGTTAGTTCCACATCAAAAAGATTCCAAAGATAAACCGAGTAAGTTGAAATTACTAGTCAGTAAGCCTGCTTGTCTATTCAATAATAAATCATAGCTTCAAGTCGCATTGTTCTTAAATTAAAAACAATGAAACTATTTGATTATAGCGGTGAAAATAACGGCGCCATCAGAAGTTGCAAATAGTTTTAACAGAATGAACAGAAGAGCTAGTAGTTTTGTGCAAAGGCAAAAAAGATCTGGTTCCTTATTAAGTCCGACCACGCCGTCGAGACGAGCAAGCGAGGTCACGAGCATCATACAAAGTAAGTGATCATCAGTGGACGCACCGTTGATCATTTAAGTATGTTTCAATGATTTTCTCTGATTCGTAGAACGATTGAGCTGCGTTGAGGGGAGCAAACAGTTTTTGGCATTGAGTCCCGGCAACAGTACCGCAGATGAACCAGAAGAAAATTCGTGGCGCAAGAGTTTTGCTAAATCGATTTCATGGCAATTCCCGAAAACGGGAGAATCCGATAAGGAAACGTCGCCCACAGCATCGTCGTCGCTGCTTACTCCTTTACAAGTAAATCTTCATAAATTATTCACGATTGGTTTATTGGCAATAAAATCGTTTTGCTTTATTTTTTTGTAGCCGCAGAGAAGCTTTAGGATTAAATCGAGTGGGGCCATCGATCAGGAAACTAGACCCACTACAAGACACTCTAGCAGTTTCTCAGACTTGGTGAGCTATACTGCTTGAAAACCTCATAAATAACGTAACAAAATAATTTGAATACATTTTTTTTTTTTTATTTCATAAGAAGAGTTCAGAGATGACACTGAGTACGATTTTGAATCATATTGCGTTTGTTAACCGAGGTAGTAGTCAGGCTGGTGATGCCAAAACGGATAATGCTAGGAGACGTGCTTCAAAGGTGACTGTAACCAAGTCCGAAGTCGTTATGGTAATAAGGGTCGTTCACGTGTGCGCTGCACTTGCCATGTTGTTATGTATTTTTAATTTTGCAACTGAAATTAATTTGATCGGTAAGTGATTTTTCATCAAAAAGTTTAACGTTTTACACCCAGTTCTGTTTAATTTCTATAGTTTGGTATGAACAATTACTATTTATTTTTGCAAAGTATGTCGACTAATTTTCATGCCAAAATGTAGTTTTGTAGTAAATGCCACTTAGTAGTTTTATAATAGCCAAAAATACTCTAGCACCACAAAGTAGAGTAAATATAAACAAATGTTTTATATAGCGGAATTTAACGATTTAATAAGTTAATCAGTTACCACATAAGGATGTTACTCAGAAATTATAGCGGAAACATACATCACGTTCCAAACATATTCTAATAACGTTTGGCGATACACGATACATACAATTTTTAACCAATTTTTGATCATTATTTGATTATGTATTCATACATCTAAATTTTATACCAAACAATGTTTTACTTTAAAATTAATTAATTATGGTATTGGTCGTAAAAATGTATAGTTCAAAGAAAATAAAAAATAAAGTAAGATCTCGATCATCGAAACTTAACAATAGTGAATTTAGATAATAAAAAAAAAAAAAACAAATTCTACTATAGAATTTATAAGTAGGAAAAATTATTTAAAGTAAAATCTATACCGCATGATTAAAAAATTTTTATTTGATTACAAATTAATATGGCTCAAAAACCATTAAAAGTTATCCTTGTATCACAGGCAAACTACAGGGACTATCAATTTTTGGTTTATCGATTAAAATATTTTTTTAAGTAGGCAATGATAGCCCAAAGAGGAGTTGCACGCTCTCTACGCGCTTTATTGCTGTTGAATATAACATTAACTCCAAAATTAGAATTTAAAATTTGATTAGTTTTACAATATTATTACTTATTAAATAATGTTTGGCAATTACACTTTATTCTTATTTTTCATAAACTTAACCTATCCGCTTTACTCTATTTTAAGTCAAGATAAAGATTAATACACCCCAATTTGTTTGTAGCGAAGTGGCAGTCTCACAATACAAGGCGTTAATTGTTAATCATTTTATTTAGTATGAGTCGATTGTAATTGTTTGACTTGATTTTTTATTAACTTGCACTATATGATTTGAGTAATTTAGGTAACAATTTCAGTATAATTTATGAATAAAATTATAAGCACATAGTTACTTTAAGATAAAATTCAATTACTAAAAGTTTTTGTTTCTATTCACTCTAATTTTTTTTAATTTTTCTTTAAGAGTCCAAACCTTAATCTGTTCACTCTACCTGAATAGTAAAAACAAAAATGTTAATAATATAAATTGTGTTTTTTTTAAGGTGTTTACTCTCATAAAAGGCCATGGTGTTGGGTTATATTACAGACTATGATCAGGTCATTGGAGTTATCATTAGCTTGCATGTTGGCAAATCTTACCAAACAACCGGTAAATGTTGTTCATCACACTCAATACACACATCCACTTCGAGCAAAACTACGTGGATCGTTTTTTATTTGAAACTGGAGAAAAGCAATATCTATTCATAAGACCGTAAAGGTCATCTGGGTTTTCAATTGTTAAATTAGAAAAAATGCCAAACAACAATCATTAAGTTAATATAAGTCTGACGAATGCAGAAATGGACATGGGACCATTAACCAAAATTATATTTCACCAGGTTTCATACGTCGCAAAAAATGATATAAGATTATTAATTTTTTTTGCATTTACTTTAGTTTCTTTAGTGACGTTCAATTGAGAAGAATTTGTTTAATTTTCAATCCTCTCTTGGTGCATTAATTAACATTTCGTTATAGAATAAAGATTTATAGTGTGATCATTATAAAAATTTAACACACCACATATTCTAACTCATATTATATCATTTTACTATTATAAAATAGTAAAAATAATGAATTAATTATGAAAAAATGGGTTTGAGCAGAAAGGACAAGTTACCACAAAAAGTACCAATTATCAAATATATTTATAAATATTAGACAGTAAGTGAAAGAACGGGCAATAATAAATATAATATAATATAGCTTTGTATATAAAAATTGTATTTTATTTCTAAGATTACTATAATATTCAGTGCCGTATTTTAATGCTAACATTTAAGATTGAAGCCAAAAAAAGTACTATTTACTAATATTTTTAAGTATATCAATTTTTTACTTGAAAAAACAAATGAAATTTTTTTTATAAATCGTAATATTTCTTTAAATGACTATATAGTGACTTTAAGTGACTATAAAATTGTTTGATTATAAAAATTAGTGCTATTGAATTCTTTTATTTGTTGTAAAAGTTCATTATAAGTAATAGTCATCTCAAGACATAAGTTTAGATACGTACCATTTGCTTTTATATAGTCTACAGATCCAAAATATGGCACTGATAATAACTATTAATATTAAGACTATTAAGGATAATAACTTCTTACTTTTCTCACTTTACTTAAGTACATATCCTACGTAGCATATATAGAATGTTAAAACAATAATTACTTTTAAACAAATTGTCAATTATATTTTGTAGTTGTTTGTATATAATCTTATCTTAGAGTAACGAGCATTGAATAAAACATATGAATATATTAGACTCCAATTGTTCTAGATGATAAAATTCTATGTAAACAAAAATAATTAATGGTATTTTCATTTAATACCACTATTTTTCTACTTCTATGTAGCAAATATGTCAGGCTAGACCTATTTAGTCAGTAATGTTAGTAAAATTTCCAAATTTTTAATATAATACATAAATCAAACTCCAATCAAATATTAATCTTAAATATGTAAGGATATTTATAATCTCTTTATTATATATACCTTAGATTGAAAGAGTGTACCAATCAATATTAGGCTTTCACATTTATTTTCTAACATAAACCATTACTATTATATTTTTTGTGTATTCATTTATATGAAAACAGTGTACTTATAGTGATAATTGAACTTAGTTTTATTTAATGTACAAATGTATTTTTTTTAAAGCATATGTATAAAAAATTGTATTCTGTTATCCTAAAAAGTAAGGAATTGGTAAATAGACTCTTTTAATTCTAGACCATTTATACATAATTATTAAGATGTACGATAATAGTTAATCAAGTTACATGCGTGTAAACATACAGAGTAGTTCTTGTATAAGTAAACTTTGATATTTGCGATAAATTCCAAACTGCAATAACTATTATTTGCAATTTATCACTGAAGTTAATTTTTATAAATAAATATGTGGAAAATTCTGATATTTATTTTTCTATAACAAAGTTTATAAATACAATAGTTACTTACCGTATTCTTTAAAAATACAAATGCCGTATTGATTTTGTAAATTTCATAAAAACACTTAATATTCAATACAAGAATACCGATAAATAATTGTGTCTAAAGGCAAATTTTTAATAAGACAAAATTTGAGGGGCCCTTACACATATTAATAAGCACCTTACATAATAATATTAAAATTTTGATTTTCATGGCTTTTATAATTATTTAACTTTTTTTCTATTGAAACTATGTTGTAATACTGTAATTTTAAATATAAGTTTTAAAGTAATATTTACTGTCTGTCATTCTTCATTACTGAGTAAACCGTGGTAATGCTAGAAAATTTCATTTTAAAAAATGCCCCTTGAAATATTATCCTTTAAGATTACATTCGCTTATATCATACCACTCATTTAATTAAAACTATCATAATAAAGCAAACATATATAAATTAGTTTCTTTCATACACTAAAGTATGTTATTGTCATGTGTTGTAATAAATAAGAATAATTAGATAGGTTAAATAGTAATATTATATAATACATAAATAT